ATTGGGGCAAGGCTAGAGGCTAGAGGCTAGAGGCTAGAGACTGGGCCACAAGTTGTTAGACATATTGACTGTACGGATCAGGCGAGCAGTGGTTATCAATTATCATCAAAGAAGAGAGAAGAAAAATGGGAGAAAGTTAGATTCTTTTTTTCGGATGTCTTATCAAAAAAGTTGACATTGTTACTAACTCAGGTATTTCACTGCTTCGATATAAAGTTTTGCCAAATTCAAGTTTAATTATGGGCTTTTTTGAACAAAGTAGGGCTGTATAGAAACTTATTTACGTAAATGGGGCTCTTTTGAAATTATTTATGCTTTTGGGACTGTTTACAATGGTGTCGCTATGGGCTATAGCAACACCATTGCCACGTGGCTTTTTTTTTCCTGGTGTGGGGTGGGCTCGAATGAGCCATACCAGTGTCGCTATGGGCTGAGGCAACACAGTTTGTGGGCCAATAAAAATGGTGTAGCCCATAGCGACACCCTTTAAGAAAAAAAACGAAAAAAAGTAAAATAATTTAAATGTTAATTTAAAATAATCAACTAAGTTTACTTATTATATATTTATAAAAATAAAAAATATTCTTTTAAAAACGTAATTTTAAAAAATATATATAATTATTTTTTGTGAGTGGCGCTATGGCCTATAGCGACACTAATTAATTAAAATTTTTTTTTAATTATTTAACTTATTTTATTTTAAAATTTATTTATTTTATATTACCAGTTAAATGTTAATTTGTAATTATAAAGTTAATTTTTCTCTTATTAATTTTGTGTATATATTTTTTTTTCCTTTATTATTTTATGACGAATTATTAAATAATGTCATTTATTTTGTGATTTTCCTGCATAATTGTTGTTCTTGTTATGAGTATATATGGGCTAGCTGTTCTAAACCTCAAACATGGACTGCAAGTGGAAGGGGAAGCTTCAACCGATTTGTAAGTGTGTTTTGAAATCCGTTTAAACCAGGTTCAACGGAGGTTTCTCGAATTCCAATGCACAAACGCAGAAACAACTCTATAGATGGATTAACATTCGGTTGAACTTTCCAAATACACCCTAATGAGTGATGGACATTGGTTATAATGAGTGACAATCCAAAACAATACTTGGCTAAACCAACCATCAGTGTCGCTGTGGGCTATAGCGACACAGCGGCGCTATAACCCATAACGACACCTTATTTTCTTTTTTTTTATTTTTTTATTTTTAAGTATTATCTTATTTTTTTTTAATATTTCTGTATTTTTATATTATCATATAAATTAAAATGATTATTTATAAACTTACTTTTCTATTAATTTCTTTATTTAATATATATCTATATATTTATTTATTTTTATCTATTTATAATAGTGTCGTTGTGGGCTATAGCGACACATTGGCATTATAGCCCATAGCGACACCAGTTGTATTTTACGTTTTAATATTTTAAATTATGTAGTATATTACTTTTGTAATTTTTTATTTTACATTATCATATAAATTTTAATAACTATTTTATAAACTTTTTTTTAATAATTATATTTTTTGAATTTTTGTTTTTTAAATTTCAAATATGAGGCGCTATGGGCTACAGTGACTTCATTGAAGCTATTAGTGTCGCTATAGGCTGCACCAACTTCGTCAATATGGCTTTCATGGCTTCTCTGAAGTTAAAAAAAAGCCACGTGGCAATGGTGTCGCTATGGCCCATAGCGACACCGTTGTAAACAGCCCCAAAGACGTAAATAGTTTCAAAAGAGCCCCATTTACGTTAATAAGTTTCCATACAGCCCTACTTTGGTCAAAAAACCTTAATTATGCCTTTTATGTTTTTAATTGTGATGCATTACTCTCCTAATTTCTGCATCTTTGATGCTTCTTTGGTAGTTTTTTTTTTCTTTTGTTTAGATTTAATTTTTTTAACTATGTTATTAGTGTTAAATACTTAGTGATTTAATAAATGACTTCACTTTTAATATAATTTTTTGTTCAATCACATCTTCTTTTCTTTCATACACAGCCAAAATATGAGACTCTACTTGTCAGGATCAAACTGACTACCACTAAAAGCAAAGACTTATTAACTGTTTGCATCTTTTTGATATTCTTGTTAAGAGAAAAAATCAAAAGAATATTGTGTTTTTCATTTTATTCTTGTAATAATTAATTATCAATAAATAAATAAAATAAGAGTATTATTTCAATAAAAGAGTTTATGATTCATTTTAATATTTTTCTATCATGTTAAATAATAATATTTTTTTGGTTATATAAAACTTAGATTAAGGTAAGATACGATCTCATATAAGATTAGAACCAATTATTGATCTCTTTGAGAATTTATGGTGAAATTATGAATTATCTACTTTATTCTTAACGCAAATTCGCAAGAAATAAAATGAAAGATTAATCCATATTCTAGTGAGTTAGAGTGAAATGACTTAATTAATTGTGTTATCTTTAGAAAACTTAATAATCATGTACTTACATATATATAAAAAAATGTCATTATTTTTTCAAATATCTTATTTTTTACTTTGCAAAAAAGTCTAAGGTTCATATGATAGAGAAAAAATAAATATGTGAAGAATAATAGATAGAGAAATATACAAAATATATTAAAAAAGTAATGAAAATGAGTGAGAAATTGAGTGAAAATAACAGTGTTTGGTTTCAAAGAATTAGAGAAGAAATAATTAATTGTTATTTAATCAATTAAAAATCTTTAATTCAATTAAATAAATAAAAATCATTTGTTTGCTTATTTAATCGATTAAGTAAAAGTTTCAATCAATTAAATGAAAAATATTTATGACTTCATGTATAAAAGAATGATCAATTATCAATATTTTTAAATCAAATATGAATAGTATTTAAAGTATTTATTGTTAATTTATGTATTGATTTGTGAAGAAATATTTCCAAATAATCATTATTTTTAATTTTCTCGCTATTTCATTGTCTTTCTTATTATTTTATCCATACTAAGAGAAACGTTAATGATGTACTCAACATTGAGGATGAAATTGGAGTTTGAAACTAAAATTAAATTTTTAATTTGTAATTAAAAAGTTTAAAATTCTTTTAGAATTGAAATTACATTTTTTTAAGGCCTAGTTTAATAGATTTTTAATATAAGATTAATATTTATTGACAACTTCATATTGCTCAAAGTTTTCTTGGCACTGTACATTTTTGTTTATTTTTATGCTTATCAATTTTCTACTACCACTTGTTTGAAAGAATATTGATGCTCTAAAGTAGAAGTTTTTCTTCTGACATTTTGTTTCAAATCTTTTAAATGTGAAGAAACATTATTAGTGTGACATTGTGATTAACTTTATTGTTATTCAATTAAAATAACTACATTAATGGATGATCAAGATAGACATTTGGCCCACCAAGACAACAAATTATTTAGTTTCTCCTTCACTCACGGTTGTCTTTAGCACAAGTGGATTGTTACTTCTTCGTAGTCATGATTCATGTAAAAAATTGATATAAAATATGAGATCATTTCACTAAAAGAATCAAATGAAGATAAGATATCTAAATGTTACTATTGTGATAGGTTGATCAAATTTGAAAATGGAATGAGTGTAATGCGAGCTCATCTATGAAGATGCCAAAATAATTCAGATAAGGATGCGAGAAAAAAATAAAAGTCAAATACATCCACAAATAATGTTTTCTTTCCCTCCCTTGACTAGGCAAAAAATTGACCAAGAAACATGTTCGAATGCAATGGTCAATATGTCCATAACAATGAACCTTTTTTTTCTTCAAAATATTAAGCATGAAGTTTTTTGAGTATTTTTAAGCCTAATAGCATCCTCACTTACTGTCTTATCATGCACTACTCTAATACATCATATTTTGAAACTTTGGAATAATGAAAAAAAAGTTAAAAAAGTTTCTTTTGACATTATCATAGGACTTGCCTCATCATTGAAATGTGAATTTCACATCAAAATATGAGTTTCATCAACAATAATCAAAAGTTGTAAAAGAAGATATTAAAATTTTTGTTAAGTCACAAGTTACTCAAGAAATACTATGATTAAGACAATTGAACATTGCTTCAATTGTCTACTTACTGAGTATACCATTACTTCCATTATCTCAACGTCTATTACAATGATTATCAACTATTTTTGTTTTACTCACAATAATCTTTACATAATTTTATTAATGATTAATCTAAATTAAATATATAAAGATATTGTACCTACACGAGGATACATCAGTAATTATAATATTAAAGTCAACTCCACTTGTCCTCTTCTAAATGCTCATGACTCCTTGTACCTCGTCCATTTGGTAGTAATCGGACACAGGAGACAAAGGTTTACCAGTAAAAAAATACTCTAATGCTCATGTTAGTTCTTGATCTTAAAAAAATTAATTACAATTAATTTTATAATAAATGTCAAAAGTACTATCTTTCTCTCTCCATCCCTATTTATAATGACTTGTTGGACTTGAGCCCATGTAATAGGCCCATTAAGGTTTATAAAATTTTGTGCATAACTTGTATTGATCTGTTGACTTATTGTGACATGTTGAGGAGTGTTCGGTTTGTTTCGTTCTGTGTGTCCTTCCGGTATAGATATAAATAAATTTCAGTTTAGAATCATAATAGTAAACTCTAATTTTGTAAAACTGTAACATGAAAAATACAATTTTGAACTAACTTAAGTTTTAATAAAATTAGAAGTGAAATTACAGTTATGAACTCAATTGAAACTTCACGCGTCAAATCAAACCATAGAGTGAATCGAGCTATAAGCTCAATAATGTCAAATTTTATAATTCTTAATAAAAATTTTATGATAATTGAAAAATGAAAATTAAACTAATTATAATTGAAATAACCGTGTCAGCAAGGAATTAGTCATTTATTGAAGATAAAATAAAAATCATGCATCCATTCCACATTTGTTCCCGACACTGTGTCAGTGTGAGGAAGGGGTTGTTAACGGGCCAAAACCTTTACACCCACTAATACCTTGTGGGCCTGATCCAAACGGAAAACCCACTCTCTATGTTGCCCCAAAACCTCGTTTCTGCTTCTCCATCTACGCCTACACTTGCCCTCACCTTCGACAACACCGCTTCTGAAATCTGCTCATAGCTCTTCATCTCTACACTCTCTGTCACTACAAGGTTCGTATCTTTCCCATGTTTTCCTTTTTAATTTCATTTCTACTTTTTTAAAATTATTTTGTGGCCTAAGTACCTATTTTCTTTCCTTCCTTCGTTTCGATTCTTAGATCATTTTTGTTACTTATACATGTATCGCATTATACATCGATTAGGGCACAATTGTATTAGAAATCAACATGTCTAGGATCGTGTTGGAATGAATTGCTAGCTATGTACTTCATTCAATCGCTAGATTTTCATGTACTGGTTGTGGAATGTTATGTTTCTATAACCCTTTCAAGATGGTGCACCGTATGTTCCTGAATGTTTATCATAGCTTGTTGGTTTTTCCTTCTTCAGAAGCCATGAAGGTGCGCTCATCCGTGAAGAAGATGTGTGAATTTTGTCAGATAGTCAAACGTCGAGGACGTATCTACGTGTTGTGCTCTGCCAACCCTAAGCACAAGCAACGACAAGGCATGGCAACATTTGCAAGTGAAGGCACATCTAATCCAGTGTATGTGTTTGTTTTTTTTTTGTTTTCCTTGTTCTGAATTGCCATGTGGTGTGGATAAATTGTAGAACCAACACTAGCTTGTCATTTTTAGGCATATGGATATCATATTTTAACACAATTTTAGTTTTCTTGCAAGAGTAATATTCTTTTTAACACTATCTTCAACATGGTCTATGTTATTGAGGGGATTACATGTTGGTCTAAAAAAGTAACCTGAATCTGCACTCTATTTACTTAGTGAGCACATGCTGTTTAGCATTTACCTAATAATGAAGGAGTTTAATGTCTATGTATTTTAAGTGTAAAATTTGTATACTGCATACCAATCATAAGTCTTTATAGGTATGACTTTCTAGGTAGTTATTGTAAAAGTGAAAAAACTCTTGCCATACATGACAAATTGACAATATAATATTTTTATATGATTAGTGCATACACTATTGTCTCAGAGTGTGTTGCCAACATTTCTTTTGCAATTTTTTCCAAATTTTATTTGTTATGGATATACACTGGGGAAAATGTTATCATTGGTCGGCATGAATTTTCTTCTACTTTGCTCATTTTAAATGTGTCATAGGGATGAATGATTTGGTTTGATATGCTATTATTAACTTGTGAATATCCAAATGCTGCTCTACTTGATTATGTTTCACGTGCTCTTAATATCATACTTATTGAATTCCAGTAACGTGATTGCCAAAGTTTGAAATCAATTCAGGTCCTTGGAGACAAGTAGCTACAAGATGGTAATGAAGCCCACTAATATTTTGCAACCAGGTCTGATTTCTACTACCCCTCAAAGGCACAGCTTGTCTATGTTGTATGGATGGAGGGTGGGATTGGCCTCTATTCTGTCTATGAAGTAGCAAAAGTAATTTGTAACCTTAAATCGGAACATTACAAGTAATAAGTGGGAAAAGATTGATAATCAACGCATTCTGGATTAGGGCCTCGGGCTTGCTCTCCTTTCTTTGTATTGGCTGATATCTGCGATTTTTTTTATGTATGTCACTTAGATTTTGTTTCTCCGATAAGTATATGGTCAACAGAACGTAACCAAGTAGTATATTTGGTGTTCATTGTTAAGTGATTCAGGGGAGCACAATTGATAGCTCCTAGATTATAATATATCCTTTACTTGAGCCAAAGATGAATTTTTTTTGAAACGCATTGTCATCTATACATTACACTTTTTTTGTCACTACGTAAATCACTCGGTGTCCTATATAGATGCATTTGGATAGATGCATAATGATATAAGGTGTGATTGAATTATAGTTTGAAAGTTGAGTTGAATTTAACTTTCTAAACTTACTCTTTAACCAAATTTATATGGATAGATGTGGGTTGGAGACTTGGAGCTGCAAAAGGCTGGAACAGTTACTAAAGTAGGTCTCAAATTAAATTGGGCTGGACTAGTTTGACTGATTGAACTAGAAACCGGTTAAGTTGCAAATTTAAACAATTTAAAAAACTGGCAGAGCATAAAATTGGCTAAAACTGGGTAAGAATTGGAATTAGAAAATTGGTTTAAGCCAATTTAAAAAAATAATTTATTTTGGTTCTTTTAACTTTTTCTTTTTTATTCTAAATGTTTTAAAAATAAATGTTCATGTATAAGATATACATAAAAGCTGTTATTATTTAACTATTGATATTTCTTTTTCTTTTTATGTTATAAAATCTGTAATATGATTCTTTTACATTGATTTAAAATTTGACCTTTTTTATTTATAATGTTATGCTAATGTGTTACTTAATATATTAGTTCATATTAAAACATGTCTTTAATCATTACTAGTTTGATTTCAACTTAATTATGGTATAATGTATGAATATAAATTAAAATTTACAGCCCTTGGCCAAGTGGAGGTGAATTCTTTCTCTAGTGAAATTCAAAGCTTTGGGCTTATGAAATAATGTTAGTTGGAGCCACGCAGCGATAGCACTTAAGGGTAAACTGTCCTTGGAGGAAGAATGAATCCTCCAATCGTTTGTATAATTGTGTATATCACCTGTTATAATTTTGAAGTTAGGATGATAATTAAATTTACATGTAACAAATACTTGCAAAAATCATTCATGATAAAGACGGGTCTTGTCTGTTATACTAGTGGCAGTGGGTCCTAATGTAGGTATTTTAAAAAAACATTATAGAAAATTAGTAACGAGGCAGGCTTGTATTGTTTGATATCTAGTCCATCTCACACTTGAACATACAATTTAACTAGTATCCTATGTATTTTAAATGTTTATTATATATAATTAAAATTTATAATAAATTATATAAAAAAATTATATTTGAATATATTAATTATTATT